TTTTTATCTTCATTCATCCAATTTCCGAACAAATAACATTAAACGGTAGTGTCATAGCAATGATTGTTTTCCTGATTGGTCAGCGTTGAAAACCTTGCTGACTCAAGTTTGTCTAGGATGTCAAACAGATGCACTACTGTGTCATCACTGAGAATGTAGTTCTTCAACTTTCTTGGAAAGTTTTACCCTTTTTCTGCATTTTTGTTTTGTACATCATCACTTTATAAGGAGCAGATTTTCAATGTAATGTTCATGGACCTTTGTTATGACTTACAACATGTGTTGACACAATTCTAAAGTGTGATGCATGGGAGAAACACAAGACCATAAATGATTAAATCACAAATAAAAATGCACAAATGGTATTAGTTTGCTTGTCAGCAAATGTTTTTCGCCAGAACAGCCGATCTTTACATTTAATCTGTATTACGATAATGGCATTTGAGCAAAAAATATAACATAATAACATATAATATCTCCTGAACTATATCCTTACATGTACAAAGCCCGTGCAGTATTACTGTACTGTGCAGTGGTACCTTTTGTTTGGGACCCTTTCTGACAGAGTGTGAGTTGGTGGAATATAGTAGATTTATAAATAATAAAATGAAAAAGAAAAGAAGGTTTCCTCTTGTATCCCTCCTGGGGGAGCAACCATTTGCTCTGACATTTGCTTTGCCTACCTGAGTGTTTTCCCTTAAGCGCCATGACTGCTCTAAGCCCGGAGATGGAGTACAAGGGAGGGGAAAATGGGATAGAGCGTGTTGAGGTAGAGAGAGCAAAAATAAAAAAGAGTGGAAAGATAGATAATAGTGAAAAAAAAGGATAAGAAGGGATGAAAGAGGAAATGGAGGGATGATGAGCAAAGGGAAATAAAAGAGGGAAGAGCAGTAAAGGACTAAAGAGAAATGAACCAATGTGATCGCTTGAGGGCCACTGTGATGGTAATGATTTATTATGTTAAAATACCACGCGCAGAGTCAACATATGTGTGTACTGTAACTGCTCTGGTAAGATTTACCTAAAAAACCAACCTGTCAATGTACCACATTTGAGTTTGACAAAGGACGGCGGAGGAATGAGGGAATGTAATATGTGTCACGGCTGCCCTCAGACATTCCCACCCTGCACCATGAATGCACACGCGCACACGCGCACACGCGCACACGCACACACGCACACACGCACACACGCACACACGCACACGCACACGCACGCACACGCACACGCACATGCGCACACACACACACCATCCATCCATCCATCCATCCACTTGGCCAAAAGGAACTTTGAGGAAGCATTGCCAACGGTTCCTGTGATTGTGAAGCGGCCAAATGCAGCATAGAGGTAATGAGTGAGTGTGTGTGTGTGTAATGGCGTCAGTATGTTGTGGCCTGACAGAGGCCTGGGTCAAAGCACATTTGCTCACTGACATGACTCTAATTACAACACACACACACACACACACACACACACACACACTCAATTCTAATAATGTTGTGCTGCTGTGTCAGTGCACAGTGAAAACGAAGGCCATAGAGGCCGCACAGGGGTTACAAAGTAACACGGACTTCTTCTGTCTGGGTCTTTTCTGATATATAACCCCTCTCCAGTGTTGCACGGTATACCGTCACTAGAAAGGTATCGCAATACCCTGACATTAAAAGCGGTGCCAAATGTTCCGATAAAATCCGATTCACCATTTTTCCTAAATCTCTCCAAGCATCTCCTGTAATTTCAGCAAACACATAATACATCTACAGTTGCTGTGATATCTTCTTGATTTCAGCAGCCTTTCTTTTATAACTTATAATTTATAACTTCTCACAGCACGTTATTATGGTTTTGGGTTTTTTGTTTGTTTTGGAAGCCTTTTCCCTGCTGCAGTACCACTGTCCACCTTAGCTGTTACTGATGCTCCAGCAGGGGCGCTATTTTACAAAATAATGTTGGTTGCAACTTTAAAGTTCACTATCAAAGAAATGTCATAAACTCAAGTGTGAGGACATCAGTTGACAGCATACAATGTACTTCCTCTGGCTGTACTTTAGCCTAATGCTGGCATGGCAACATGCACCCAGCATCAACGCTAACATGCTGTTAGCAGATGTAGTGTTTACCGTAATCACCAGAATAGTTTAGCGTGCTACTGTGCTTATCTTTGCTTTGTAATTAGTTTTGCAGGTATTTTGGCCAAAGTATTGACAACGCGACATTTTTGAGGTCGGACTCCATCACTGAACTCCTTCTCCCATCTGAAGAGGAATAGTTTGCTTTCTTGAAACGTTCTAAGAATTCTTAAATTTCAAACAAGTAAGACAAAAAATAGGCCGTTATTTCCCCTTTGCTCTTTTCCTCCTCCTGTTCCCCTCCCCTCTTCCACACAATGACAACAATATGGATCACTTTTAGTAGTAGTGTGTGTGTAGATGCGGGTTGGCTGACCTCTGTCGGACACGTAATGGCAATCACCCTGTCTCATAACTACACACACACACACACACACAGGATAAACGTATGTGAGGGCATGTCTGTTGATGTGAAAGGCGAAAGGCCAACAGCTGATCGGTGGGTAGATTGAGGGGAATGTGTGAGTGCCAGAGGAGATATGATGATGATGATGTGTTGTGCTAGCGTCAGAAGTGGCAAGTTGTGCTTCACCCCAAATCATCCTTTCCCCTCCCTTTGCTTTGCCAAACTTTTATAGTTCAATTAGTTTATTTGCAACAGAGAATACTTGCAAATCCGTATTGATAATTAACAATGATGACTTATTTGGTTTGACAACATTTGATATACATTATGACATAACTTTCTCCTACCCATTGATTTTCTGCCACCGATCCAGGCCTGGTTTGTGGTGGTATTCTGATCCTGGATCCTAGACCTATGTTCTTTGGTCCAGAACTGAATCAGAACCCACAGTGCGCAACACACCCATCTTAAAAAAAAAAAAAAAAAAAAAAAAGAAGCTGCATTCATTTTCCGTCCAAGCACACTGAAGCACATGAGACCAAGTGGCAACATTTGCCTGATCATTATATTGACAAGGCCTTGATAGAAATGTTAACCAATTAGCATAAATCTTCCCCCCATGCCCTTTATGGTTATGCAGATGATGCATCGGGTTTGTTTGGTGTAAATTGATGAATGAGTGACAGTTAAAATAGGTCGAAAAGGTTCCTCCTGGTACACGTGGAAGCTTCTACATCTTCTATATTTATAAAAGCACCATTATGTACTTGATGACAGGAGATGAAATGCTGTGATGGAACATAAAAGCAAAGGAATCAACTTAAAGACAAAAGAAACGAGCAGAGAAACACACAGATGAAACATACCGAAAGAAGCTTGTGACTGGAAGCTGGTTTGATTCCCACTATTACCACCACTGAGGCACCCTCGAACAAGTCTTTTAACCCCAACCCCCATATCACAGTTCAGATTCAAGCAAAGTCCATCTTAGATCTTTCAATTTCTTATGCACATTTTGAAGTATAACATGTGAAAAGCTGTATGGAAAAGTCAGAATTCGATAAAACCAACTCCATTGCACTAACAATTTATGCTTGAATTAGGTGTTTTTTGCTTTTGTTGAATAAGAGCTTATGCCCTAAATGTGATATAGACACACCTTTGCCTAAACGTGTGAACGGTAGTCTTTGAAACATGGTGAATTGTAGCTGACGTGAAAGAACAATTAAAACGTGCCAAACTGAAACTAATTCTGAAACTTTACTGGCCGAGTACAGCCATGCGTAGCACATAGTGCCAACTTCTGAGGAAACTTTGCTGTTGCCAGGTTTTTAAACCAGTTGATGGAAACGGTCCCAACTCGCATATCTTTTCTGGGACATTTCAAAGGTTTACTTGAAATTCCCTTGACAATTGAACGGACAACATGCACTGAAAAAAAAAAGAAGTGACATTTACTTGAAAAAAAGCTAGGTAACAATTTGCACTCAGAAATTCCGAGTAATTTTTACTCAGGAATTCTCAAGTTAAGTTTACTTACTAGTAAGAATTGTTTTTTATCCAAAATTTTCAAGTAACTTTTACTTGCAAATGTCTTCCTTAGACATAAAATGTACTTAGCCTTTGATAGTAATCTTTACTCAGGCTACCTTTGCATCCAATTACAAAACCCCAGTAAAACTCAATTAGGTGTTTCATGTATATTTAACTAGCTTTTCCAATTGAGAAATATTAAGTAATATTTACACAATATATCTTTTATCTACTACTACTCTACACAACTGTTCAAATATGAATGTTGCATTTTTTTTAAACTGGGCTACTGTTAATTTAATAAAATTGTCTTAACATAAGGCTTCTACAAAACATCTTCATTTAAACTACAGCAGCTTTACTTGTTAACTGGTGAAAGAGGTCACTGCTGACAGACACACACAAATACCAACATATATAATCTGGTTGGCATTGCCAGACAAAACATTTCTAAATCAGTGCTGCCAATAAGAAATTTAAGAACACAAACGTTTAGTCATTTAACAAACACTTTTAATTTGAAACGATGGGTATTGCTTGACAACACTTGGATACGCATAGATGAAGCCCATGAGCAGGAGGCAAGCCTTTGCCACACTTTGACAGTCATCAAGAACCTCTTTTCCCTCCGACGACGAACACGACTGTCAGGAGTGAAGCCTTTCTGTGTTGCATTTCCATGGATGACAAGGATCTTCATGACATGTTGAGCATAGTCCTCTTCAATGACTTCTTTGAAATTCAAATTTACTAATGTTCACTTTTACATCTTCGAGTCTGATGTGTTCTCAAAAAATGACGATAGTGGGGGAAACAAACAAATATTGAATGTGTTCAAATGCGTCATTATGCATCTATTCTCAGTGTATATGAGCCCAACATAATTTTATATAATATTAGATATCTAAACTTTACCAGGCTGGGTGATTCCAGCATGGGTCTTGGTTCCTGTAACTCCGCCCTTTGTCCCAAGTATCTCCAGAAAGTTGGAAGTGCAATTGTCCAATTTCGACAAAAAGTTTCGCTCCAGATGAACTGTGGTTATTCTTCTGAACTCCTCATTGATCTGAAACAAAAGACAATAAAAAACATAATCAAGATGAGGTACCTTGCTAAAACAATTAATGCAGTAGTCCTCCCAGTATAATGTACTATTCACAGCAACACAAACTATGACTTCAAATGTATGTCAAGTTAATTAAACTATAACAGTACTAAGTTGATTTTACCTTGTGTCAACTGTTGATGTCAACTTGCTGAGAGTGAACGTCCTTTAATATTCTGTGAAATATATAGAGAAATTATGTTAAAACATGAACACACAACATTAAATCTGAATTTGGCTTAAATCTTCATATTGATAGCATGTTTTATCCCCACACAAAAAAACAGCACATAAACAAGCCAACATAACGTTAATACTGAGATACACAGCAGGCCTGGTCATGTTGATATGCAACACTAACTCAACACAGTACTGGCACCTTGTTTCATGCCCAAAGCCTTCATCATCAAGGACACCACATTGGATAGAGACATAAGAGACCAGTTTAAAACTAATGACAGAAATATAACTTACTGTAAAAATATGTCACAAAATAATGTTAAGTGTATTAGACTCGCTCTAAAGTCACTAATTCCACCACGTATGGGATATTTTTTAGCACATGACCAGTGTGCTTGTTGCTGCTTAGCTATGATTCCCCTGTCTTGTCACATTTTCCTCAGGCTGCACTTGAGGATGTCCGAGAGAAAGCGCGCTGTGCGTGTGTGGCAGCACAGCAAAGCACCTGTGTGGCAGAAGTGGGCTTCACAAAACCGAAGTAATTCCCCCTCCCCCTCATCGACAGAGCGCAGCTGGTCGAGCACCGTGTCCCCAGGCCAACAACTTTTCAAGGGGGAACCCTGTAAAATCGTGACCAAAACCACCAAAAACATGTCCACAAAATGTAGCGCCGTGAGCCATGTCTGTAATGCTGCCCCAAGTTAGCTAGCATGATAGCCTAACTAGCTAGCACGCTAAACTGACCAGTTCGCTACTCTTCAGTGTTCACAACTCAAACACAGACTTGACCGAAGGCTCAACAGCAACGTAGAGTATTAATTAAACATATAACCTACCCCAATGGCTCCCGTCCATGAAGTTCCTCTCCTCAGGTGAAACGCTGCCGTCCTTGTTCAGGTTCTGCTGTTCCGTCGTCTCCTTGAAGAAAGGAGCGCGAAATCTCCTCTGACGTCACCCCCTGAGTTAGCGCTATAGGTTGCCAGGTTTTATTGGTATTACCCAAGTACATTTTACTTTGTTGTGTCAGGTAGTGCATTCAATACAGTAGTTTAGTAGATATTACTTAGTGTGAATGATTAAAATGTACTTATAAAAATGAGGATACATAATTACAAACAAACACCAAGTAACACATTAAATAAAAGGTGATATTTTAAAGTAAAAGCACTGGAATGATAATTTCTTGTAAAATTTACAAAAATAATCGAGGTAATAATTACAGGGCCAGTGTGGCAAATGTTGTGCCTGGCTGCAGGAAAGGGCCAAGATAATAAACGTTTAACACTAAATATGGCGCTTGCAGTCATCCTTCATTGAGTAAGACGTCAGTTAAGAAGCCGACCAAGTTGTTGAAAGTTTTCAGCTGACATTGGTTGCACAATTGAATCTGCAAGATTCCCTGTCGTCCCTCCCTCCGTAGTAAAATATACACGATGCTGCTGCCAAACATCTTGTAGTCAAGCATGTCTAGAGTACAGTATTCCTCACAGTGGGGTCCAAGGTCCCTCCTTCAGGGGTCTCTGCAGGACTCCCGGATGATCCCCCAGCAAAATGAGCCGCAGTTAATTTGGATGTAACCTAATGCATAAATTCGCTGGAATAGAATGCATAACAAAGACATAATACTGAAACAAAGACGATAAAACATTGGCCTGTAGGATTACAAACGGATATGTGGATCTGTATATCGGTCCTTGACATAAGGGCAGCTGAGAATGCCTGAAGGTGTAAAGGGTCTGGAAGTTGATTAAGACAGAGGGGAGCACTCCACTATCTGCTTGCCCCTTGAAGAGCCCTTTATCCTGGATATGATGAGTCCCAAGGACCCCTCTCTCCCAACCATCCAGGGATAGACTCGACTAGCCAGGCAGGCCAGCAGACAGAGAGAGACAAATGCAGAGCAGAGAAACAAAGTGCCTCTTCACACTGCCAGTTAATAGTACCAGAGTGGGGAACACGACGGAGAGGGAACCTCTTGGCTGCCTGACCCCGTGAAGAGCTCTCAATCCTGGGCTCACTGAGTCCCAGAGCCTTCTTTTCTCTTCTAGACCTCCAGGGTCAGAGCTAGCCCCACAGCCCGACTGTAGAGGCTCGGTAATAGGGCCTGGATGAACTCTTCAAGGGGATTAAAAGCCTCTTGTGTCCCCTGTGCTCCGGCTTTTTAAACTGGGTCCATTTCCAGTACCTGCCAAAACTGTTCTCAATCGGATTTTTCGGACTAGAGTTATAAGATAAGTAATGCCAAGGGAATTATTTATTATTTATTCCGGTGAAGAAGATCTCCAGTTCCTACGAGCACTGAAATAAAGACTGCCGTTAAGGTGAGAACATTTCAACACTGGACAATTACAATTAAGGACTTCAAATCTGATGAATATTTAAGTGGTCCACAACGTGGCTGTTTTGAAGCTCTAGTGGGAACAAAACCACTGCGAGGTAGGCGGCAGAGCTGGAGCATGGAGAGCGAGTGAAGAGGCAGAGTGGCAGTCGAGTGGAGAGATGGAGTGGGGAACTGGAGTCGGGGTGGAGGAGAAGAGATGCTGAGATCAGCAAAGGTCACAAGAGGGTAGATTCAGGAAGAGCAGGATACTGAAGTCCCATCCTGAGCTACTGCGCACCGTGTTGCTGGTGCTTAATCATAACATATTTCACACCAAACAGAACTAATACAGGGTTGGTAACACTTTTGATATTTTTTGTTGAAATTCTCATTACGTAACGACAACAATAAATTAGTTAAATGGAAAAAAAAAGGTATCTGTGGCTGTCGCAGGACTGTAATAAGTAATAATCCCATCATTTTATTTGGCTCGGATGTTACCAGTGGACGGGTTACTTACCTGCCTGCGCATTTTCTGCCCGTGCACTAATTGCTCGTCACCAGAGTCTTCCGTGTTGCCGACTTTGCGACTTTCTCGCTAGATTTAGTGACTTATGGAGCTACTTTTGGTTGGCAGTTGCTTTAAATTCACGCAGTAAACATCAAAGGCTTAATTGTGAAGTACAATTTTTAAAACCCTTCCAGCTATTTATTTTCCCCATGAAGCTTGTCAAACATCTTTAAAGTCATATGTGCGCCAATAGTCCATATACTCTGCATCTACATTTATCTTATATCGTGGAAGGTCTGTTACAGGACATTGGCAAACCATTGATTCATTTTGAAAATTAGATCTCAAATGAACTGTGTAATATTGTCATAAATTTGCCTTGAGCAAGACAAACTTTGAATTAAATGCAATGGTGGTTTTACGAGGGGTTATACGCAAAACATTTTCTTGGACGTGTGCAGTGACTTCTACAGTATAACCCCTTTTAAAACCCCACATTTTGTTGTACGTATTTAACAAACGTGGTATTATGGGTTAATTCATGCACTTTAGATGTGCAGGTAGCTGGATTTTGTTACCTTCACGCAAAGCCAAGGGCCAACTGTATTCTGTCTTTATGCTAAGCTAAGCTAATCAGCTGCTTCCTCCAGCTCCATATTCAACAGAGCGGTATCAATCTTCTCATGTAACTCTCAGCAAGAAATTGATTAAAAATGTATTCCCCAAAATTTCCTCCAAAAAACATTTCGGGATGAAATGGAACACCAACAGAGCCTGACCTCACTGATGCTGTTGGAAAACACGATCCCATTCAGGACCACAATGGAAATAAAGTCTTGGCATTGGAATGTCGGTGGACACTTGAAGTGAACTTGAAACATGTTCCAGCAATCCATCGTTGCGTTAGGATATAGACTGAAACCTTATGTATCATCAGTATCGACAGTATCAGAGACAGCCGAGGTGATGCAAACCAATCAAAGCCAGTGAGGGTAAATCACAGTGATCTTTGCTCCCTACTCACGGCTTCCTGCCGTCCCCTCTGCCTGATGGCACGTCACGGTGGAGGGTGCAGTCACGTCATGGGGCCGTGCGCGGTTAAACTCTAGCACCCTCATTCCACGTGACAATTAGGCAAGTGGGCAGTTGGGAGCTACTGGGATCGCTCGTCACTCGTGGGAGGTAATGTGCTACGTTTTATGTAAATGCAGGCGGGGGGGGGGAGGACAAGCGCTGATGTGTTCTTTCATCTGACTTTCTTCATTTCATTTCCTGCAGTTTTACATCATCACCTCTGTCTCTTTCCTCTCCCACTTTACTTCATCTGCCTCCCTCTCTCTCTCTCTCTCTCTCTCTCTCTCTGTGTCACCGCGACAAGCTCCGTTCTCCACCCGCCACTCCTTCTCTCCCTACCTCTCCTCACCCTTCCATCTCACTCGTCCACATTTTTTTTTCCCCCCACAATGCCTCCCTCCCTTACACCATACAAATCTCCCTCTTCCTCTCTCTCTCTCTCTCTCTCTCTCTCTCTCTCTCTCTCTCTCTCTCGCTCTCTTTCCAAGTCAGGTGACACCAGCCAGACCACTAATTAGAATTCTGTCACTAAGTAAATGCATTGTGACCGGTGGCTGACAGCTCTCTGCGCCCGCGCGTGTGTGTGTGTGTGTGTGACAGTTTGGGCAGCTTGTTGGCGGTGACGATGGCAGCCGCCTGGCATTTTTAACGTGGCAAGGTGCTGCTCTCGCCACTGACCTGACAGTCATTTAAATTACACAGAGGATGGCTGCTGTGTGTGTGTGTGTGTGTGTGTGTGTGTGTGTGTGTGTGTGTGTGTGAGAGTGGGATTGAGGAAGGACCATTAGGAGCTGTGGGATAATTCACTGACTCGCGGGTTGACTGATTGTGTAGCTGACGGACTCTCTGACTCATTGTTGGAAAACAGACAGACGGATAGGCAAGGCTTGTTTACCATGTCAGCTCACCAATATAACTCAAATCTCCCTCTCTCTCTCTCTCTCTCTCTCTCTCTCTCTCTTTGACACACGTACACACACACACACACACACACACACACACACACTTTGAGAGGAAAAGAATATAATGTGAGGAAAACAAGAGATGAGAGGGAAGAAAATGAAATGGTAAGAAAGGAGCTGAAAAATAACAACAAATAGCTTTCATAGGCTGGCAATCAACCAATGCAGCTTGATAAAGAGATTGACGGTGAGGGAGGGAAGGAAATGGGCGAGGCAGATAAATCTGTAAACTGCATTTACCTGTCGAAGGTTTCTCAGTCACACTGGCGTTATCTGATTTGTTTTTTTCCATCCACGCGAGAAAAAAAAATCTCTTTTAGGTTCTCTCTTTATAAAATGATGTTTGCAGAAAATAGATCACGTGACCGACCGCCGTGTATCAGCTTCTTCACAAACTTCGAGCACAGAAGTTCCACAAAAAGTCCAGCATTTTCTAATTCAGCATTTTTGATAAGCTCCTTGATGTGTGTGGAGGACCGAAATAAAGATGTATTTTAACTGCATCCTCAGGTATGATGCACTATACAGCATCTTGTTCTTTCTTTCTGTGCAAGCTGAAACTCTTTCCCTACAGAAAGACAGAAAAATCCCCCAAAAATAGTTCCAATACCTGAGGAAGAATTAAAACAATATTGTAACCAGATAAAAAAATGCTTTCTTTAAACTGTCCCAATGTGCGGAAATCAAGCTCAAAAAGTTAGTTTTTTTAATATGTGTTAACACATTACTAAATATAAAAATAATATACAGCAATATTTGCTGTGAGGTGGAATGTCGTTTACAGAAACAGGTTTTAGACGTGCAGTCGTAGACGCAGCATGTGAAAGGCTCGCTACAAATTCTAATGATGGGATCGGTGCTGGAGTTAAGGAGAGAGGGAGGAGGAGGAGAGCAGAAAAAGAGACGAATAAACCTACTCGCTGCTCTATTGGATGCAGCGATTCAGATTTGCGGGCATTGTGGGGCAGTTGAGGGTTTGATTTGACCGGTGCACGGTGTCGTCATTTGAATCATTTCAGCGTTCAGCAAATGCACGTAGAACGGGAA